CTTAGAAATTCTTAAAAATTTGCACAATACCTCGCAAGTTTTCTAAATTTCTCAAGTTCGCTTGACACCTATGAAGTTCTCTGAAATTCTAGCAGGGTGTCTACTACCTGGAAAAATCTGGAAAACCGGGAATTTACAGGGAATTTTATTTTTTCTGGAAAAACCTGGAATATTCAGGGAATTTTGGTTCCACTCAGGGAATTTCCCAATTATCACTTCATTCGTAATTCAATAGAAGTTTTTCGTTCAGTTTCTCGAAACGTTTCTTAAGGACACTGGATTTGACAAGCATCTGACATCTAAGACAACGTGTGCGAACAAGACAAGTTCATTCAGAGAGTCTTGTTACGCTCGCTCTTCGCTGATTTGTATGTGGAGGATCAAAATTGTCGTAAAAAGGAAACAGTCGAAAAAGAGAGACTGACAAAAGGAAGCATACGAAGCATGTATTGTATAAGAATAAGCCTGCCAGACAGCAGGTCTGAGAACCTACATAGATTTTTTTTTTTTGAGCTTCAGAGAGGGTCGGAGATCTACTGTAAATTTGTTGAGCTTCAGGGTAGTTCGTAGATATTGAGAACAGAACTACAAACAAATTAAAAGTAATTAACAGAAATTCATAAAAACAACATCACAAGAAAGGTCGTAGATCTTCAGATAAATGTTCAAAGAAATTTTCAAAACTTCAAGCAAGCAAAAATAATTTCAAATCAATTTGTAAAACTATAAGCGAAATTTTGAAAATCTTCAGGGAAATTTGCATAACTACAGGCAAGTCCAAGAATCTACAGTGAAATATAAAATATTTCACAGAAGTTTGGAGATCCTCGAAACATTATTCAACATCAGAAAAGTTCGTAGATCTTCAGAACAAAGTTACAAAACTTTGAAAAAAATTACAGGATTTCTGAAAAAAATCACAAGAATCTCAGAAATGTTAATGGCTCTTCAGTAAAAATTGCAGAACTTCAGGGAAGTTCGGCGGTAAAAAAAAATATTTACACGATTTCAGGAAAATTTTTAGATCTTGAGAGAGACATTTAAAACTTCAAAGAAGCTCAAATATTTTCAGATAAATTTTGACAACTTGAGGTAATCTTCAACGAAATTTTCAAATCTTCAGGGTAACCCGAGAGGAATTTACAAAACAACAGAGTAGTTTTCAGATCTACTGAGAAATTTATTGAGCCTCAAGTTTTTATTTGTAGATCTTGGGAATAGAGCTACGGAGCTTAAGACAATTTTAAAGAACTTTAAAGATATTAGCAGGAATTTGACAGAAAGTTTCACATTTTCACACAAATGTGAGATCTTTAGAAAAATTCGTTAAATGTCAGGAAAGCACCTCAATTCCAAAAACAAATCGCAGCGAAGTACAAAAGTACAATATTTTGCAGAACTCCATGGAAGTCGGAAATAGATACACACCAAAAAATTCTGAATTTTACTGGCGATGTAAGCATCCATGCATGCAAACATTCATACATGTAAACTTCCTTTTCACGTAAACTAGCAACTTGCAAGAAATGTTGCAAACAAAAGTGGACAGTTGCATGCAATATATGTGGGATATTACATGACATGTCTCATAAATTTACACGATCTATAATCTAAACTTGTATGATATATGACGCTCCATTTATGTGCATCATAGTAACGGAAATTTACACTACTTTTTTTTTAGCTGTGTAGATCTAAAGAACTTCAGAGAAGTCCGTAGACCTTAAAAGAAGTTTGTAGACCTTAAGAGAAGTCTGTAGAACGTCAGAAAGTTCGTACGTTTTTAGAAAAATTTCCAAAACTTCAGCAAAACTCACAGATCTTCGGGAAAGTTCGCCGATCTTTAGATCAAGAATCCACAAAGAAATTTAAAAACCTTTAGAAAAGTTCGGAGATTTACTGTGAAATTTATTGAACTTCAGGGCAGTTCGTAGATCTTTAGAGCAGAAATACAGTACTTCAGAAAACTTTACAGAATTTGAAATAAATTTTAGGATCTTCAGAAAAGTTCAGAGGATAGATCGTAAATCAACTGAAAAATTAGCAGATGTTTAAATAAATTTTCAGAATTTTACTGCGGTTCTTGGATTTTGAAAGACATTTACAGAACTTCAGGTAAGTTCGCTGATCTTGAGAGATATTGGCACAGCTTCAGAAAAATTAGAAAAACTTCAGAATACTTCCTAAAACTTCAAAAATTTCTTTTACTTCTTTAGAAAATTGTATAGATGTTCAGAGATATTTGCAGATTGATTGATAGATGTTCAGAGATATTTGCAAGAAGTTTGTAGATTATTAGAAATTTTGTGAACATCTGAGATAATTGTTGATCTTCAAGGATCTTAAATCTTCAGGGATTCAGGAATTTTGTAGATTTTTAGGAAAATTTGCAGAAATTCTGAAGAACACACAGAACTTCAAAGAAATCTGTAGAACTACCGAGAAATAAGCAGATTGTAAGGAAAGATTGTTGATCATTAAAGAAATTTTACCGGAGAACAGAAACAAAACTTCAGGGACGTCAGAAGGTTTGAAGACCTTGCAGAATTGAGTTGTTAACAGAAATTTTCAGAACTCAAGGAATCTTGTATATCTAGTGAGAACTTTTCCCACTAGCTTGTCTAAAGTTGGTATCGACATCCTGGCGAAGTTTTGAAATCCATTTTCATCTTCATATCGCAACTCTTGATGGAGAAGATGAGCCAGATCCTTGCCGGTGTTCCTCCTGAGCAACCATTTCCTACTCCACAAAGTTCACCTTCTCTTCCTCATTTTATTTAAAATAATAAAAGCAAATACGTCTGCCAAAACTAGAGCAATTTTCCGGTAATTCACGATGGAAGTATTTACTTTTGATTCCTGATACAGTTTTGGTTTTGAAATCTAAGGCCGTTCGCAATGCTGTTGTATTTTATAAGGACTGTTTCAATTTGAAACTAGAACAGAAACGCACCTCTCGCAATGCTGAGTTGCAGTTTCATTATTCGAGCACTATTTTGCACCAGATTTGCAACTGCTCGACTATTCTGTTTTATTTCTGAGCGAGTTTGAAACACGAATGGAACTCTGTTTCAAATTTCTGTATGTATTTAAAGATGTTTCGAAGAGCTTCACAAAAAAAAAAAACACTATCTGAACTTCAGTAAAGTTTATGGAACTTGATGATTACAAACATCTTTTAGAACTGTGCGTTGCGCTGATCGTGTTGCAGTTTTATTTTTGACAGTTTCAAATTATAGAATTGTCAAGTCGTTTAAAACAATTTTGAAACTCAGCATTGCGAACGGCCTAAATTGGCAGTTCTTTCGACATGTGCAAGCAGTGTGAACACTAGCAAACAGGGGGCTTCGACAAAGTGTGTCGAAAGTAAATTCGAGCAGATTTTTCATTATAGCGGCGTTCAAAGTCAGACCAAGAAATCAGATAGTCTAAACGGACCTTAAGAGATTTTAGACATGTGAAACCATGATTTATTCTGTCTTGACTTTAGTGACTTGGTCTTAAAAAAAGAGACTTTTTAGTTACTGACGTGAAAAAAAGTGACCAAGTCACTGCAACTTGTCACTCCCAACACAGTTTACCCATTTTTGGGTAGGTTCAGTTTTGACCGATCTGGGTGGATTCTACCCAAATTTGGGTAGTTTTGAAATAGCGTGTATACTTTTAAATAGTTTTTTTTTTAAAGAATGGAATTGTTATTTGGCAAATTCATTGCAGGTAGGGGTAAGAAGGGCATAGTGAACAGGTGGGGCATAGTGAGCATCCCGTGCATCAGCTTGGACTTCCGGCCGTTCGGAACAAATTGGCTGGTGGTAGGATCAATATCATAATGATATTGAACCTACTACCAGTTGATTTGTTTCATGCAGAGCCAAACTGCGGGATGCTCACTATGCCCCTATGCGTTGGAAAGTGTATGTTGGTTGATAAGAACGAAAACGTTCTGTACAGGCTTGAGGTCCCGAAGAAACGTGCTCAACTTTTTGGCTCAGCTCTGGTACTCTCTTCGGTCCCAAGCTAATCGATTCACCCCTCGAAACATAGGAAAATCCACTAACCCCTCATTTTATCTGTCAAACTTTCATAGAGAATCAAAACAAACATTGTGTAGTACTAGAATTTCGACTAGAATGGGCTTGGGACCAATAGGCTAGTCAAGTAGTGAGCCAATTTAAAATCGTTAGTTTCGTATTGATTATTGGTTATACCGTGGCTGAGGTTGTCGTATCATAGAGATCCAGACCCCACGTGATCACCACTAGTTTATAAAACAATTTTGGTTTCTAGCTGTAAATAATTCTAAAAACAACCTGTTGAAGGGCATTGTCGTTAAAAGAGTATTAGGTTGTTATCGACCGATAACTTGAATAAAATGGAGACATTTTTGAAACATTGATAAAATGCAAATTCAGTTTCCAACGGTTTCATTGTTAAACAATGATCGTTTCAGTGATCATGTGTGCGATGCACGTGACTATCGATCATCATTTCTAGGAATAGGAATCTTCTGTCGCCTTACTTAGTGGTGCACATGCACCTCCTCATACAAAGATGATTTTGCACCGGCCCGGCCCTTGTTATGGTATACTTCCAAGCAATCTCCCACCGAACAGATGTCTGCAATCTGATCCTTTTTGTGTGTAGGGCTCATTCTACACAACACAATACATAACACACTTTTACGATCCCCTTACCTGCCACCGACAGCAGTAAACTGTGTCTATATGCTACTGCTATTTACACTTTTTTTTTTTTCACCGCCATAATCCACGATTCCGTTTTGTCTTCCTCTTTCTAAACGAACTTTTGGCGCGGGGTTCCCTACTCGATGATTTTTTTATTCATGGAATTCAACGGACAGCTGATCGCCGCATGATTTCCCTTTTCCCTTTAAACCTAGATTCGCTTCCTCTTGATGCCTTCGACTGGAATCCCTTTAAATTGCTAGGTACGAGGGTTTGAAAACTTGTTAAGAGATTTTTTCCTTCTTTCAATTACAGGGTGATCCACTGCACTGGCAGTGCTGTGCACTGTACATCACCTGCCGAACGACGGTTACGCCCACCGTAGGGAACACCAATTCCGTACTACAAGGCAACTGCGTCTCGATGACGCGACTGCTAAGGCTGAGTAAGATCAAGTGAGTATTGCTACCCCCCACCCCCCTGATCTAATCCTACTAGCTATGATATCTATCTTCATCCTTGTTTGCTTGCAGTCTTAATGAATTCTTTAAAAAAATCAACAACTGGGTGGGGATGACCTCGCAACCGGACGAGTGCCGCAATGCCATCAGCAATCTGCAGCACAATTTCATCGTTTCGATGTCGATCTATCAGAAGTATCGCGAGGTGTTCTCCACCATTTTCCTGGCTCCCAGCGAAGACGAGCAGAAGCGCGGCAAGAAGTCCAAACCTCAACCGTGCAGTCCGAATCGGTTGTTCAAGTTCTGCTGGAAGCTGTTCATCTGTGCCAAGGCGGAGTATCCGGAACAGAACGGAGACTTGGTTACTTCGTATAACATGCTGCTGTGCTGTTTGGATCTGGTATATGCCAACGCAATCACCGACGGCCGTACAGATCTGGTCAATCCGAGCTTCCCTGGTTTGCCGGAGAATTTTCTCACAGGAGGCGAGATCCCACCAGAACCGGTGTGCATTATCGAGGAGCTCAAGGAAGAGAATTCCAGTTCTGTAATAATGACAACGAGGAGTACAAGCTGGCAGAATGCAATCAACGGATTTTTCCGGACAGGCGTCCTCCGGGGAAATGCCGAAACTTTCATGGAGCTCATCACGGTGCCGAACTTTGAGGATAATCTCAAGGCACTGGACAGCCTGTACAATACGTTCATATTGAGCTGTGGAGAATTTGACGAGGGAATTGCTCTTGAGCAAAAGACTCCGGATGGTGGATTCTCCGCTTCCATCAAATCAGAACTGTCCATGTCCGCATCCGGAACACCAGAACGAATTCAACTCTGCCAGCAAACTCCGCTGAACGGTCGTAGCCGAAATGCCGCTAACGACGGCAGTAAATTCACTCCCATATCTACCGCAAATGCCTCGGTAACCATGCTTCGCCTGAGGCTGAGCGGCTACACCGGTGAACCGCAGGGTTCTCTCAAGGAGCTGTTCAAGACGTGCGCCGTGGATCCGAGCAACATCGTGAGAGTGCGCCTAGGTGCAATGAGAGATAAATTCTCCAGCTATATGCGGGAACAAAAGTGGAGCAATAGGGCCATAGCTGTCCGATTCGACATGACTGAAGCGCTGTACTATCGGCTGCTGGAGAACATTATCCGAGCGGAGCAGCGACGGCGCCAAATCAATCTCGTGCGGGAACTGTGCTGCGAGGACATGTTCAATCAAACGCTGCTGGTGTGCAGTGCGGAAATTGTCAACTATGCCCACAATTTGCAGCAGAATTTTCCCTGCATTCTGAACGTGTTCGAAATGGCACCGTTCATTTTCTATCGGATCATCGAGGTGGTGGTCTTGCACCACAACGACCTCCTATCCGGAGAGATTATCAAGCACCTTACGATTGTAAGTGTATACTCTGTTCTGTGTGTGTGGATCAAATATAATCGAAAACCTTTTCGTTTCAGATCGAAAACCAGTGCATCGAATCGCTAGCCTGGGCAAGTTCGTCGCCTTTATGGCGCGCGATGGAAAACATCAACTACAAAGTGCCTACCGCACAGGAGGTGGAATCGTCCACCGATCTGTCGGGCATAACTCCGCACAAACCCGGCGAAAGTGTCACCAAGATCAACGGGCAGCTAATGCTAGGTAAGTTGTGGTGTCAATTTAGTTAGTACAATGATGGACCTCATGAACCCAATCCTGATACCGCTAGAATCCACACCGTCGACGTCGATGGCGACGCCCTCTGGAAGCAGTGGTCCGGGTAATGGGCGAAAAATTCCCAATCCGGATTCCGCCAAAAAGCGCCTGTTCAGGATGGACGACGACGAACCGGCTAAACCGGATACATCCGAAGGCAAGGACGCAACAGCAACAGAAGCAGCTGAAGGCCCGAAGGAAAAGAAGGAGCCACCAAAAGGTTCGTTTTGTGGAACTCAAGTTGCTCTCTCACTCTGCATCATCCTGTTCATTGGCTGCTAGATGAACTTCATTACTTAATACCTGATCATGCTTCGATTGCTTTTAACCAAACCGTATCGGCAGAGCGTCTGCCGATGGCTGCTTGTCATGCTACTGCTACTAATACTGATTATCTAACCCTCAATGTAGGTTATGTTGATAAAATCTAATTAGGTACATGGGTAGTTGCGCAATTCATTCCCAACAGCAAAATAATGACTTCGCATCGATTATAATTGGTATCCCTTGATTGTTGCAGATCTGGTCGCACCCCGCGTAAACCAACCGTTCCCCACGACGCTTGGATTTTTTTCTCCGCTGAAGCTTCCCGTTCCGAACGGATCACTGTCGAAGCGAAGGCCCGGAGCTGCTTCATTGAATCTTTTCTTCCGGAAGGTAGGTGTTTGGAATTGCATTTATCTACTTTGTCCTTGGTTTCTACGGTTTCTACGGAGGGTGTAGAACAAGTTTTGCAATATAGCATCGAAAACTACACACATTGACCATTCAGTTACAGGATATCTTCATGAAGGTTCTATAAGAACTTAATTGGGGTGATTTACTAATAGTTGCACAACTGCAGCATGGGATTCATGTTATTTAGCGAATTTAAGGACAAGATTGATAGAATCCACAAATGGCCGTTGTCATGGCTAATTTGCCTTGTAAAATCAGCCATGACAACCGCCATTTGTTGCTTAAAGTGACCTAGTGAGTAAATCAAAATTTGCATGATCAAAGTCTGTAGTTTCCTCACATATTGTTATTATTATTCGATTTTATTCATCTGGCTATTGTCTACATGAAAACAAGCTTAAAACTAAACAATTCTAGTGTTTCTTATCCGTGCCAAAAAGTGTGAAGATGATTCCCCAAATTGGAATAATTCCTTTTAGTCGTAAACGACGTACGCATCATAGAAGTTAGTGGTTCGTTGTAACCGAACGCCGTCTGATAATACTGTGGTTGGAGAAGGGTACCACATTGTAAGGTTCTCGGTGGCACTCGGATATCCAACAGTGAGAGAAGCTTCGAGTTGTCGACCTCGCCATTCAATAGCTTGGCATCCAAAACTGACTGTTGATTTTTCCGTCGATGTTTCAGAGTGTCCAAGCTCAGTAGATTGCAGCGATCAGAATACGGTGGGAGATTTTGCGGAACGCGCCAGTTCGATCCTCAAGGTGCAAGTCAACTAATGAGGAAACCAGACCAAGGAGGCATTTTCCAGGATTGGTCGAACAAGTGAGCAATAGAGAGCATTCAGGCGGAGTGGGTCAATAAAGTCCCTCGATATTTTCGACACAAAACCTAACTGACGGTTAGCCTTTGTTATCAGAGCAGAGCGGTGAAGGTTAAACGTTAACTTATGGTCCAGTAGAACACCTACACACTTAGAAAAAATCACCGACTTCGGTAATTTTTTTACCGAATTGTCAACAGCTGAACGGTCGGTAATGTTTTCGGTAATCGAGAAACTTACCGAAAAATCTGTAAACTGGGTCAACAAAATTAGCTGTCAAATTTACCGAACGATCGGTAACGTTTACCGATGTGCATTGCTTGATTTGTAGTCGACTTTACCGGAGAACTGTAATTGTAAGGACGATATACAAATCGAAAATTACCGAGAGATCTGTAATTTTTTAAAAAGGTCACCGACTCAACTGTAATTTGCTTTAATATTGTTTCAAGGTGGCGGTCACTGCAACCCATGCAAAAATTTGGCTGCAGTCGTGATCAATAAGTTAGTGTTGCAAATTGCACAACCAATGAACAAAACCGTTGGCGACAATCTGAAAACTTAAGTTTTTGTCGGAAAGATTCGGCGCTACACTTAAAACAAGGAAGCATTGGAAGAAGATTCCAAATGCTGTTCGTTCAGATCGTGGCCAACGGGAATGGAACTTGGACCGACAGAAAAAAACAAGCAACAACATCGGCCATATGTAATCGGTATTTATATAGATAACGAAAATTAATTATTTACGGACAATATCTACGATTCGCTCATCTTGGTGTTGCATAACAGCCTCGATAATTTCACCTTATTTATTTTTCACAAGCACGAACGCTTTTAATGTCGATCGAAAATAATAATATGGTGGATTTGACGTTTACCTAGACCGTTACCGAACTCAGTAATGGAACGCTTTGTTTACCGAAACTTCAGTAAAATATTTCACCGAAGTCAGTAATGAAGCTGATTAACAGACCTGCCGGTAAAAATGTTTACCGTTTTCGGTAAATTAAAATGAAATTACCGAAATTCTGTCATTTCATTTACAGTTTTCAGCAATAAAGCGAGAAAATACCGAAACATCTGTAGTTTCTAGCATTACCGATCTAAGACGGTATTTTTTTTTACCGAACTCAGGGTCTCTGTTTGAGTGTGTAGATCGCTGAACTGGTCGGTTCTTTGAAGAACAGATGTCACTGAAACGTCACTACGTTAAGCTCAATTATCAGTTCAAGCGAGTCAGCCGTCAATGTTACTTGCATTATCTGCAAAGGATTCAAAGGAAATTCAAGTCGCACCCGAAGTCTTTCTGGAAGTACGTGAAGGAGCCGCGCAGAGAGTCCGGTCTACCATCATCCATGATATTGAACGACGAAGTCGCTTCCACTCCACAGGAAGTCTGCCGCTTGTTCTCCAACAAGTTTGCAAGTGTCTTCTCTGACGAGAGCTTAACCAACGAATACGTGACTCTAGCAGCAAGCAACGTTCCACTTTCCGGTCAAGCTCTGGGTGGAATTTTTGTCAACGCTGAAGTGATAACGACTGCCGCACTAAAACTAAAGCCTTCTATCAACCCTGGACCCGGATGCACAGTGGTTCCTGGCTGGCCAAAACCTCAAACATTAAAGTTGATATTTTTTTAATTCAATATTTTTTTATCATTTTAACATGTTAAGAGTATCTTAAATTGAATGATTTGTGCAGTTATGTTGAAAACATATTTTTTTTATGGTTGTTATAGTGTAGCGATATCACAAATTTTTGAAAAAAATCGTAATGTTTCTTGTTACTGTTTTGCTCAAATATAGCAAAAAATAATGTGTTTATCAACTTGGTTGCTTCAGAAGAAATGTTCTTCGGCTTATTTCACATCAAATGGATGGTAAAAAAGAGTGTCTGCGCTGTTTTAAGGGACAGTTTCTAATAAAAAATTTGCAAAAATATACTTTTTTCACATTTAGACTAAGCAAAACATATGACGGACACATCCGCCCACTATCTTTTAGTAATCAAAAGATAGCTAGAAAAATTAGCTTTCAGATAGGCTTTTATGTGTTTTACGATTTTTTGCGAAAAGTGTTGCAATTAGGAATAACAAGTTAAGTGTTCTTTGGAAAATATCCGTTTCTAAGTTATATAATCTGCGGTGTATACTGTAGTAAGCTTCACAATGCCTTTTTCTAAGCCCGCCAACACGCACACACATACACACACGCACCATATATCTATCTCTTATGGTTCATGAGTTATATTTTTTTTTAACAAGTTGGTTAGGGTGGCCCCTAGACAATCGGCATTCTTTAAATATATTTTTATACGTTCATTTCTCGTGAAATTTTTATGCTAGACACTTCAAGAACTTTTTATGACTCATATTTTTCTTAAGTTGATATCTGGTTTATTTGAAAAGTTATGACTAGTTTTTGCTGAAAAATATTACTTCTTTAAATTAAATTAAATGCTTTAAACAGAAAAAGCTCTTGCTGTTTATTTTTACCAAAAATGAAGAAAAAACGATGTTTCCAATAAAGAGATGAACTAGCCATATAGCTAAAAATCTCTATAATAAAGAAAAAAAAAGATGTTCTCAATGAAATTAAATGTTTGAAAATTGGTTTGCTCCATTTTGAGATATTGCCAATTGAAAAGAGCCATTTTTTCGAAGAAAATAGCCTTTAACTTTCTAATCAAAAAAGATAGTAACCTAGTTTTTTGAGCAAAAATATGCGTCATCAAAAGTTCTAAATGTAATCAGAACAATGTTTTTACGAAAAATTAACGCATGAAAATATATTCAAAGAAAACCGATTTTAGTGGCCACCCTAACATGTTTGTTTAAAAAAATCATAACTCATGAACCATAAGAGATAAAAACAATGTGTCTTCAACAAAGTTGCTTTGAATTAATTGTTCTACAACTGTTTAGAACACTGCTTTGGTCTATCTCAAATAATAAAAAAAAAACTTTGTATACTTAATTCACCAATTTTATGGACCACCCTAATTTTACGAACATAAAAAGATTGAACAAAAATATGAAGCAACTTTCCTTAAGAAACCATATTCCTAAAACTGACGCAAACCCTGGGCGCAAACATTTTTGTCTTCCTAAATACGGCTTTGGGACCATTGTGCATTGGTTTTTGTTCTACTATACTCCTTTTTGTGACGTCTTGATTGTCAAGTTTTCTTCGTACAGCTAAAAAACATCTATTTCAACTGTTTTTGCCTATTTACAGCAATTTTGAGGTTTTGGCCAACTTTTGTTCTAAGGGGAACCACTGTGGGATGGTGTCCCTTCAGTCTTTCTGAAGAAGCATTTCGCTAACTTACTGTCACCGCTACAACATCTGTGCCGATTGTCCATATCGTGTGGCATTTTCCCATCGAACTGGAAATTTACGCATATGTTCCCTGTGTATAAAAAGGGTAGTAAACGGAACGTGGATAATTATCGTGGAATTATATCGTTGTGCGTAATTTAGAAGTTATTCGAGTTAATCATCATAGAGCCTCTGCTCTCCCATTGCAAGCAGTATCTAAGTGAAGATCAACATGGCTTCACCTCTGGTCGAACTACTACCACGAATCTACTGTGTCTGACATCGTACATCACGCAAAGTATGGTTGAAAGGTCACAAACAGACGTCATCTACACTGGCTTGTCTGCTGCCTTCGATAAGATAAATCACGCCATCGCGATCGCCAAATTGGATAGACTTGGGATTAGCGGAAATATTTTGAGATGGTTTCGCTCATATCTCGCCGATCGTCAGTTGGTGGTAGCCCATGGTGACTGCCAGTCCGACATTTTCGCAGCTACGTCAGGAATACCTCAAGGAAGTCATCTGGGACCGTTGATTGTCTTACTCTACTTCAATGACGTGAATTTAGTTATCGAAGGTCAACGACTATCTTATGCAGACGATCTCAAAATCTACTTACGAATCTGCTCGATCGATGATTGTCAATTCCTCCAACGTCAGTTTGAAGCGTTTGCAGCTGGGTGGCATTTGAACCGAATGACAGTAAATCCTGCGAAGTGTTCAGTCATCACTTTTACCCGAAAGAAAGAACCGGTTATTTTTCACTATGCTCTCCGGGACACCATTATTGAACGTGTGAGCCATGTAAAAGATCTAGGTGTCATCCTGGACTC